AAACAAAGCATAAAACTCAGTCATATAATGTATATATTATAGAAAATCGAACGTGTGTGTATATATATTATGTGTTTACCTATATTTATCTCTCGATTACAGAGGCTTGTGATTGTGCATCCTAGGTGTTCTAGCAGTGATTAAGTTGGAAATATAGCAAGTGCTGTTGAAGGTGATGAGGATGTGGGCCCGGTGGCGTGTATATAGCGAAAACGGCCCAATAAGTCAATTCCGGCCCATGCCATTCTGAGAGATTTTCGTAATTATCTTTTCATTGCATGGCTGCTTGACACGTGCAGGACAGGTGTCCTCAGCCTAGTTCTTGGAGCAGAGCCAAGATTCTCGAGGGCTTACACGTGTCCCAGTTTGTAGATGCTCGGGTGCGAGATCGGGCCGGTCCGGGTCGGGTGTGGGTTTCCTTACGTTGAGGTAACGTTATACGTATAATGTATTTTTAATTTGATAATCTAAATTCTAAAATGAAATATATGTCTGGACTTATTTTATTGATTTGGGAGCAATAGATACAAAAAGTTATTATCTAATAATTCTTGATAGACTTCACCCGGGGCCGGAGCGACTTTACATTGAAATTTAGGAATAAATTTAATTTGTTCCCTCCATTATTCTTCATTGTGTGTGCCCCTCTCCAATTAAAATAAATAAATAAAGACAAAAGAAAAATACATAAACAGTAGCTCTACTCATTCAAAATTTATAATATCAAACTAAACCTAAGTTTAAAGTTTTCTCTCATTATTCTTTTTTAATATTTCATAAATTTTTACACAGATTAATAACAATAATAATAACCTTGTCTCTGCAGAAAATTTCAATACTCTTTATAAAAGTTTATTTGTTCGGAAGTTTTTTTTTTTAATAAATTACGTTATGGCTAGTTCTCGGGCTTAATTGAAACTTAGACTCCACTCTTTATAACAAACTAGTATTCGACTCTGTGCATTTGCACAGATGTAAATAAAATTAAATATTATAAGTTATATTTATGTATATAATATAAATTATAAGTTATATAATTGTATTATATTTCAAACATATAGTATTATAAGTTATATTTATGTATATAATATTAAAATTATAAATTATATAATAGTATTATATTTTAAAATTTGATCATTGGTTAAAATAAATAGTACACACGATTTGATTGTATACGAATCACTATATTGATTGCATAAAATGTAATAAATATATACTTTTCATAATTTTGAGTGATCATGACCAATTAATTAGCTGAAAAATATTACATTTATTATAACAATTGCTTATGTGATTTTAAGAAATTTTACTATGACATAAAAAAAATTAAATTTTTAATAAACAACATCTTCATCATATAAAAAAATATTGATTTTAGTGTAAAATATAATTTTATGTAACTTTCATATATTATTTAGTATAACATATAATTACTAATCTTAATATTAACTATTATAGTATTCAATAAAAAATATAATTATTAACCAATTAACATAAAATATAATGGTTTTTGTTTTAATTAACCCAAAAAAATGTAATGAAATATTTTTTTATTAATGAGATTGGGTGTATTAATGCCACATAAATAAAATTTATTAGGTTCTATTTATTAGGTTTTATTAATGATTTGCTACATAGGTAAAATTTATTAGGTTTTATTTATTAGGTAAAATTTATTGCTTAGCTAGCAATTATATATGTATAGATTGACGCAAAAATAATCATTATGATGTGAATACAATATAAATAATAGCATGAGTGTTTTTTAACACTATTTAAGAAGGGATATTTTCATCTATCCTACAAGATTTTAAAAATATTGCAAAAACACAATTCATAAACAAATAATTACATCTCTACCTAATATGTAATACATAACTACATTAATGCCTAAAGTAAGTTACCATATCCATTCAACTTCCATCCCCCTTTTTGTGGGCTTGATTAAGAGAGAGAAATGAAAAATAATAACTGACTCATTTAATTCCATAATTCACGCAGCCGTCAGGTGGTATATTTTGCGTTTATGTTGGTATATATTCAGTATATGTTACAATGAAGAACATGTCGTCCATCAAAAAATTATGTCTTCTTTATTTATTTTTTATTTTTTTTACTTTTAGACATAAAACTATATATAAACATATTATAGCAGTTACTTATATTCCATATACAAACAAATATACTGCAAATATACTGTACATATATACCCGTCGAACGTCTTCCTGTTAATGTCATGAGAATATATACCGAGAATATACTGATAATATACCGTCGAACGTCTTCCTGTTAATGCCATGAGAAAATATACCGAAAAGATATTGATAATATACCGAAAATTTTTAACTTTTACATACTATCGAACGTCTTCCTATTAATGTCATGAGAAAAAATACTGAAAATATACCGAGTATAAACCATACATATACAAAAAAAAAATCATCAGTTTATGCTTTGTCAATATAAACCATACATACAAATAAGGTAGCCCTTATATTATACAGAACATATACCCTATATATACATAACATATACCCGATTAATTCAATCTTCTTCCTTCTCATCCCAAACATGCCTCTCATCTCAAATCTTCTTCCTTCTCCAAAGATTCTCGTTCCTTCGCAGCTTTCTCAAATCTTCTTCTTCTTTCTTCTTCCTGCTGGTGCTGAAGAAAGATGTCGCCCCGGGTCGGGGCGGATGGTCCAGAACCATCGGGTTCGGGCGCGGATACCGACAAATCCGGGTTAACGGTGCGGGCGAAATTGCGAATGGTGAGCGTGGTTGGCTTTCGAGACTGAAAATTGGGGAAAAATGGTCTAAGGTTAGGAATTAGTATGAGCTGAAGGTTGGGGATTAATGAGGAGGCGGAGGAGAGAATGAGGGGTTTGGGTACAAGATTCTGAAAATAAAAGGGAATAGAAGAAAGTTCAGGTATTAAATCCCATTAAATCCGTCTCTTTCCCTAATTAAAGGATAAGCTGACTTAAGTTTGAATTCTAGTATATGTGCAATTATTTTAAGGTGATTTTGTATATTTGCAAATAAATATCAATTAGGTGTAAATGTGTAATATAAAATATATTTGATAGTATAGGGTGTAAATTTCTCATTTAAGAAACAATATATATGTTTGTTCCATAATCAGTCCTTATACAAACAAGCTCACAAGCTGGCTATTGAGATCAAATAAGAGGTTAGACTATCATCGGTTGAATGAATTATATTTTAAACTTGGACTCGATTTATTTAATAAAGAGCTGCAAAAATAGAACATCAACAACTATTAAATAGCATTGTTTGTTTGAAGGTCGAGCTATAGATCTATTATTGCTCCTTGTCGAAAATCAGGCATCCGCCACTATTCTCCTTACTGGTTACTATACTACAGTTATAGAATTTTCCATTGTTAAAAAAAAAAAATCTTGTGAAATAAAAGGAAAAAAAAAAAACATAGAAAGGGCTTGTACACTATGTAATAATTTCAAACATTCATGTGTGCTTTTAAAGGAAAAAAATACAGAAAGCTTTTCAGCTAATTGAACATTTGAGGCACAAATGAAATGCCTCTCTTCTAAATGTTTGTAAGGATCCCATGAGACAGATGGGAGTTCCCCAAAAATTGTTTGGTTGAACTAGCTAACCTTTTTATTACAACAAAAGACTACA